TTGCATTTAGTCATTTTGTTTCGTCAGTTCTGTACTGAAAGGGCTTTTGTAAAGAAAGATTGTTATTATTTATATCCTCCCGTGTTATGCCTTTCTTTCCAAACGTAGGCCTGTGTATTTGCTTCTTGTGTTTGTTTTACTTGTTTTATTGCCCTAACGTAAAGGCAAAAAGCAAAATGTAAACACGACACAAAAGATACCAAAGCCTATTTATTTCTCACTTGAAACTTCATTCAATCATCCATATATACATGTGTGTGTACATACATATACGTATATACACACAGATGTGTGTATATATAAAACTGACACTGGTTTTCCGAAAGCCTCGTGGACACAACAGCTAGAAAACTGTATCTGTGCTTGGGGTAGACATATTTTCAGATATCAGATGACCTGCACACTCTCTCTCTTTCTCTCCCCCTCAATTCCTTTCCATTGCAGTCATCAGATGTGTGATAGATGCTTACTGTGTTATTCAAGGCGATCATCCAGCGTGCACAACAGCCAAACCCAACATTTGATTTCGTATTGGTTGTGTTTCCCCTCTTGGGCGAGAAGAAAGAAAACGGAATTTTGTTGGTCCGTGTGTGCAGCCGCGGATGGTCTCCTTCCTCAGGGATTCATTTTGTATATGTTTATTTCACGGCTGTTCTCTTGATTATCTTCCTGTTCCTGCGTGACGGAAGTGGAAACAGCGATATCATTGTAAATTTACTCATCCATGGATAAGAGTTTATAAATGGTTTTAGTCTTCAACGCAATGCCTGTGCTTTTTATTCCTGATCGATTTTTTTTTTTTTTAACAAACTGTATTCGATTTCTTGGCTTTGTCCAGAACTTTGTGTGGTTGCCAGCATTTTTTATAATGTCTGTTAATCTCATCTGATGTTGATTAATCTCTTTATCATGACAGTGACGCTATCGATGGTTTGGTGAAACGACCTGCGATAGATCTTTTGATGTGAATGTCTTACAAAGGTTTCGACATGTGATACGAAGCCTGAAATGAGGGAATTCGAAGAAAGTTAACTACGTTTCCCGATTTTTTCTTTTTTGTGTGTGTGAAAATTGAGATGAATTTGAAATTCACTTGGAATTCGAAATGAATATTGAATCAATGGCAAAAATGAATAGTATTAGGAAATTTTAAATTAATAAGTTCATTAATAAAATAATTATCATGGCCAAAACTGAGGAAAATACAAAATATTGGTCCATGAAATTCGATGTGTTGTATATGTAACAAAACTGTTAAATTAATATTAATGTATTTTTGAGATTATTTATAAACTAATCATATGGAGCCAGTGAATTGTAGATCGTAAGGAAATATATTCGTCGGAGGATTTTGGACTTGAGAATGTTCTGTTTAAAGGGTTTTTAGTATTGCCTTTCAATCTATTTTTCTGCAATAGTTACCATGATGTTCTAAAATTTTAGATGCCATTCCAAAATATTTAAATTTTCCCCTTTTCGTAGATTTTAAAAAATCATTGGTCATTCGTTTGCAGTGTTCCAAATTATTTAATTTTTTTTTCCCCCTTTTTGTCTTCTGAGTTTTCCTTTATTTTCTCTTCTTTTTCCATTCAACGTTAAGAAATACACTAATCAAGAGATAATCATATTGCATCCAACTTTGTAAGACGTACAATTATTATTGCAAACGGTATGCATTGCGTCATCCAGTGTCGTGACGTCACCACGGCCTGTCCTGGTAACGAATGACTGTCTATTTGCGCAATCATGTCGCTCAAAATACCAATAGGTTCAGTAATACAGTAATTCACACTCTCCGCGCGTTTACAAGCGATTGCTGATCATAAACATGGCGTGGCTTGCGTTCACAACCACTATGATCACCAAGCTTGTCGCGTTCACAGGCTCGACCCCAAAGTGTTGAGTGTTCGTACAGGCTCGTACAAGCTCGTCATCCCTGGGCATTATCACTACAAGCTGCATTTAAGTACCCAGGCTCTTCTTCAATTGCCCACGCATTCAGTCCTTCGCCCTTACTCTTTTCGTCTGTCTTGTGTATATTTTTTTTATCTGTCCTTCTCTCTCCTGCAATTCTCCCCCTCCCCCCCCCTCTCCCTCTTTTCCCTATCTACCTATTCCCTTAAAGCAATATTTGTGGGAAATAAGTGCAAAAGAAGTCTCAGAAAATACATAACTAAGTAACAGTATTTTTGTATGTATCACTATGTCGATATCTGCTGGGCATGTCCCCCAAAAGTAGTTATGTGAACTTGACATGCCTATTTTTTCCCAAAATGTGTGTAGATTTTCATATAACAAAGCATGTCTGCAGAGAACAGAAGCGACGGTCAAATGCATTCTTAGCAGCTCCTCATAGTTCGTGATGACCTTTGACCTATTTTATTGTGGAAAAAAGTGAATCCCAACACCCCAGTACAGTGACCTTACAATGACCAAAACTGTAATGACCTGAACACACTTCATGACCCTTTGAAGCTTCGTTTCAGGCCGTAATCAGTTT